AATATCATATAATTCGATTTTTTTTGTTAAATTTAAATAAATAAAATTAGTGTTTTTTAATAAATTTTAATTTTTTTATTAATTGTATATTTATAAATTTAAGTAAATACAATAGACAACAATGGATACTGATATTATATGTCCATTGCTTAATCAATGAATAATGGACAGCATTTTTTGTCCAGTGTTATTCATTGTCTATTGTCCAGTCATGACAACACTATACTAATCAAGAATGGGTTAGGCTTTTCTTTGAGGTGAGAAGAGCTGTTAGCCTCAGGTTACTTAGTTTTGAGTGAGTCATAATGACCTTTATTTATTTTGTTAACGAAAGTTTTTGCAGATTTTCTAACCATTTTGTAAGATTTTATCAGATAAATAAACTCTTTCAAGTGTTTTATACTATTTGTTAAAGTGAGCTAAAGAACTAGCTAATAGAGTTGTAAATTTTTAAATAAAAATATTTGAGCGAAACAATTTTATTTTCTCAGTAAATTTCTAAATTTTAGAAATTTGGGGTAAAAGGAAAAAGAGTTTTCCAATTAAATGATATATATATTCTTTAGTCTTTAATAGTTATAAAATCAATATACTCACTTTGTGTAATAAGTAGGTAATTTTTAAGTCCTTTCTAGTAAAACTTGGTGGAACCAAGAAATCTCAGAGATGGGTCACCACATTTAATTATAAAGTGAGTGAAAAATAATATGATGAAATTTTTTTTATGACATTCATAATTGTCTTTAGGATGTCACCATATAATACTTCTTTTCAGCATATATATTCTTATATAAAAATCTTGTGCAATATTTATGTGTAAATAGAATTTCAATCATGCTGGCTTGTATTTTTAAAAAAAATATTTGTTTTTTGTGTAACATTATTTTAACTTTAAAGTAAGTTTTAATATTTAGCCTAAAAATTTTTTTTTTATCAAATAATTGATCACTGATTAATACATAGTTTTCCTCTTTGTTTTTTTATTTCTATTAGTATATAATGGAATTTTTTTTTTTCGTGTTTTTTTTTTCATCACAAAAAAAAATATAAGATAATTTTTTATAAATTACATAATTCAACTTATCATACATAATTATTTTATTTTATTTTTCAATAAAATAAAAAATACCTAAAATCAGAAAGCTAACAAATAACAATCACATTGATTCCAAGGTTAATAATAATAAAGAAACTAATATTGACTAAAATTATGTTCTCAAATCGGTGTTTCCTTCCTCCTTATCTTTAAATGACATAATAAGTATTATTAAAGCACCTAAAAATAATAAAAAAGCAAAAACATTTCCAAATGCTTTCATCGCGTATAAAAAGGCACTAATTAAAGAGAATCATAATAGAAATATTAATTATCTTCTATGCACCAACTTTCTAAAATTGCATCATATTATTGGAAAGAAGAACCAGAAAACGTAAAGGCATTTTACAGCAAGCTATCTGAAGATGCTAAATCTTTATATAAGCTGGAAAATCCAATTCAAATTTTATTTGATAAAAATATGAATAAAGTTGAGGTTTTACATATAATTAATAAAGTTGACTCAAATTATGTCAATTATACCCAAGGCAATGAGAATCCTGTTGAAAATATGCAAAATTCAACAATTGGGTATCTTCTGATTAAAGATAATTTTACCAGTGTTATAAATTTTTTCTCGACAACAATTATATCAATCATTCCTAAACTAGTTTTCCTAATAGTAATTTTTTCGAAGACCTGAATTTAATAAATCAAATTCCTAACAATCAAGTGTATATTAAAAAGTTGGAATGCGAAAACGTGCAATTTTCATCTTTGCATATTGATTCAGATTATATCCAAGTCTTTGAAGTTTCTGTTAAGGATATAATCTTTACGTCGCTGAATTTTTATCTTCTCATAGAAGAAGATTATTACATTTGTAACTTTTTCGATCGAGAGTATGGGATGGATTATATTTTTACCAATTTCATATCAGTTGAAAATAACTTAAAAAATGTTTCAACTTATGGCATAAATTCAAAATATATCAATAATGGAATCGGAGAAGCTCTTTCCATTGAAAATATGAATATGTATCTTTTTAAAGATCAATGAATTGCAGAAAATTTTAATGCACCTTGACTCATTAATCTTCTAAACTATAATTATAAATTTTTAACATTGCCTTGATAAATAGAATTTAAAAATTTAATAAATAATGTTATAATTAAAATACATATTGACAAATTAAATGTAATGTTTTATTGAAAACAT